TATTTTCATTTGTGCCTCCCTTGTTACAAAAACATCTTATTGTCACACTTCAAACTCCCAATATTTTTTCTGCCCCCAAATATCCCCACCCTTCCCCCGCCTCTATCCTAGCCAAAGCTATATTCCTGAGACCCCTGCCTGGCACGAACACATCAACCTGGGCAGAATAATGAACTGGTCTTAGATAAATGGACATATTTATGGTATACATATTTATCTGATTTGAAATTAAAGTTTCACACTGATATCTGTAATTTTAACCAAACAGTTCTGTTCAGTGGTTGGCATTGTCCTTGGTCTATACTTGAAGGGCAACGTAATTAATGTACATCTTGCTGTGTGGAAACATTTTCTTCTTTCAAATTTTAGAAAACAAAAAGACAACTTTAAACTTCAAAGTAGTAGGCCTAAATTGGCAATTCTACTGTCACAGTGTCACTCACGTTATATGCCATAATTAAAGGCTACTTTGACCTCTCACTGCTTAAAAAAGAAGTATTTGATCAAGCTGAATCAAACCATGCAGCCATACAACAACCTTTGGGTATACAATAAGGGGGACCCAAAATGGAAAGAAACATTCAACCCATTCATTCTCTTTCTGTTGGTCATCACTCACCATACCAAAAAAAAAAAGACGTGGTGAATTTCTTGCAATTTTGCTGTTGAAGTCTCCTCAAACTGTACTCTGCAACACATTTTCTTTTATCCAACCCATTGCTAGATATAAAAAAATTGAATCAAATCAGTGTGCACTTTACATGCAAGGGACATTAGGTTACAGGGAGGAACCATCACTCACATTACGTCACTCACATTACGTCACTCACATTACGTCACTCACATTACGTGTTCTTCCTCTTCATGGTTTCTAACACGGCATAAAATCTGAATTTGATGAACTCAAGCACAAAACTATTTTCTCATAAAATATTAACCTTTCTCTCTCAGCCTTCAAGACAAAAACTCACAGTACGGTATCTCTCGCATTTTGCATGTTAAAACAAGGTGCGAAAAGTGACTACCAAAAATCCATGATTTTAGCACACACACATACAGGGGGTTTTTTTAACCAAAAATCACACTAACCTACATCCCATCTCATTTCTAATTGGAACACCACTCAAATGAAAGATCTTGTTGTCCCCTTTAATTTCACAGTACATTTTTTGTTGTGATGCTTGTACTTTCTTAAATTTCCACTTTTCAAACTTGTCCACTTTAGTGTGGAATTGCCCAGATGTGCATAAAGGAATGCTTACCAGTGAACCAGAGTTAGCTATGTGTGTGTGTACTATTAGGTTGATTAAATTTCAATTACATCTTTAAAATGGCTGGTTTTACCATTATGTTTCTGCCGTGTAATCAAGTTCTGGCTGAAAAACATTTGTCTCATCAGCCAATCAGAATTGAATTCCCATTTTTAATGCATTTCCATATCTATTACTGCACCTTCGCTGCAGGAAATCTATAATTTTTTTTGTACTATAGCAAACCAGGAATTGTGATTTTCAGAATAAATTACACTCACAAATCTAAGCAAAAAATGGTCAGTCTGTTACATCTTGGAGATTTTTGTGAAGATCTGCCTGACATTATCATGACGAAACTTCAGATCAAATGTCTGCAGAATTTAGACATTTTATTGCTCAAACAGTTTTGAAAAACAAAAGACAACCCAAAAACAAACATAAATTTCATGATGTAAAACAGATGTTAAAACCAGCCGTTCAACATATTGTTTTTTTTATGATGTACAATTAATTCATGTTGAGGACACTTTGATGACTATTTGTTTTTTCCCCTGTCAGGTGACTGATCACATGACTAGAGACGCTGGTTACTGGTGGACGATTCATCAGGCTCATCTTGAAGACTGCTGAAGGGACTTGGCATCTTCAAAGTCCAAAATGTCAGGCTCTTATGAGAAGGTATTTACATTACTAAACAAAACAGATGTCTGGATTTTTTAGGGGCAAAAAAACGGATAGTTCACCAGGGGCAACTGCAACACCTTTTTTGGAAAAGAATGTGAATAAGTAATGAAAGTAAAAAAAAAAAGTAAAAGATTTTAGTATAGGTTTTGCCGGCCAATTTCACCAAGTTTTCATTCAATTTAACGCCTGGCTCATTCGATTTAGATTGAAATTGAAAGAACACGCAGATCAGCATTCGACAATCAAAAAGAATCATTCAATTTCACTGTCCGAGCAAACTAATCGCCTTTTAGCTTCACTCGTCCCTATCAAAGATGCATTCATATTAAAAGTATTGCGTTGTTCATTCTATTTCGTCTAAACCAGCAGTAAAGGGTTGATCGGGCATTCGTTTTCATTAATGGGCAAACATATTTCACATTTTGTCAAACATCTTTTAAGACTTCATACGTGTCCGTATTCCTTAGCGTAAATCATGAGTTTTTCTCAGGAATCCTTTTTCGTGGAACTCTTTACCACTGTGAAATGTAAGAAAACTACACATTTGACAACATTTTTGGGTTAATCTTATCTCAAAAGTGCACTTCTTTAACCCTTAAACGAGGCGGAATGGTCAAAACAATCTTTTCAAGGTTAAACACTTCAAGTTTCTATGCTTTTCCAGACTACGTATGAACGCCCTGTTACTGTCATGTCATTTCAGGAAGGAACTGTTCAGTTTTGGGGGTTTTCTTTCAAATTATTCACCTAAATTTGCTAATTGAAAACATTTGTGGGAAAGGGTTGCTCACTGGCTTACTGCCATGCATACTGACACATCAAAGAATCACCATATGAAAGAAATTTATAACAGCAAAATATCCAAAATTCTAACAACTTTTTCGTGCTTAAATAGCCATGTGACATTAATCAAGCCCGGAATGCCATCGCAGGTATTCTAATGAATATGAAACTTTGCATTAGCATAAAAACGGAGAAGGCACCAAAAACATCCTTCAAAAATGAAAAATGAAATGTGCATTAAATAAGGTTAAATGTGACACAAAGTTGAATTTTCAAGTTTTGCATTGCAAACTTACTTTGCATGGGCCCTGTTTATACAGTAAGTGTTCGGTCAGACATGCGCAAGAAAACCTTTAAGAAATAACTCAAGAGAAATGTTCCCGATGGTACATCCATTGCCAAACATAGGTGTTCCAATGTCTTGCACGTCAAGAAATCGTCAACGTTAAGATGCCCCTTGCTCATACGTTTAAACAAGTAGAAAAGATAAACAGTGACAAACAAATTATCTTAGTCACTTCAATTAATTAATTTGTAATTAAATCTTGTTTCCCTCATAGGGCCTATCAGTTAATTTGTAACATTGTAAGTTTTACAGTTATCAAGTTTTGGAAGAAAATGAACCTCGGAGAAAAATAGGAAATGTATCGATTACAATTTTTTACAAATTTAAATGACCAAACGAAGAAAGCGATTGCCCATAAACGAATAAGAAACGAAAAGCATGGTTATACTTTACAAGCGCACGGATGTTCGCTTATTTGAATGCGTCAACCGTCAAAAGGTTTCAAAGACTTAATTTAAGACTGCTACAAGTTAAGTCTCGAATGCACTAAAATGAAATAGGATGCCCGAAAATGAAAACGAACATTCAGAGCAAAATCTTGGCTGCCTAAAAATGAAATTGAACGAACCCAAAACGAAAAAGAAACCCCAATTTGACCACATGTGCAAAACTCACAGGAAATTGAATGGCTGATAATGAAACTGATTGGAAAAATTCGGAAATTCGCCGGGAAAACCTATATTTAAGGAAATTTGAAGTAGCATTTTGATACAGTCCTGAACTGCCTGGCACATACACAACAACCTGGGCAGAATATACGTCTTGAATAACTGGAAATATTGAATTGTTTACATATTTTAAAATCTGCTTGGAAAATATAATTCCACACTGGTTTTTCTGTAATTGTAATCATGAGTACTGCTCATGTGGTTGGCATATGTTATCTTTCTTAGATAATTGAGGGGGGCGGGGGGGGGGGGGATTAGGTCTTACATTTACCTGTGCCAAATGTGTGGCAACGTTTTCCCAATTTTAGGGAACAAAAATACAAAGTTTCTGTGAACTGCAAAGTAGTATATGCTTATAAATTATATTCTTACCAGTGAAACAGAGTGAGCTATGTGTGTACTGTTAGTTTGATTATTAGGCCCCCCCCCCCCCAAAAAGTCTCCAGTTTCTGGTATGCGCGCGCGTCGCCGCAGCCATGCGTGTCGGCAAATGAAAAAGGTTTTTGTTTTCAATGAAAGATGATGTCTCAAAACCGCCAAAGTGATTGACTGGAATCCTGCTGCTGCACAATTTTAGCGTGTTTTTAGATGGGATTACGATCGAGTATAAGCTTTATGTGGCCTCTCTGGACTCCCATATATTTGCACTAAGCTTAGTCGGGCACCATTGCAGTCATCAACCGACAATCGAAGAAGAAAAAACAGGTAAAAAAAAAAAAACCGCGTCGCTGCACCACTTTTTGGGCATGCTCCATACCAGAAACCGGTGACTTTTTTTTGTTGGCATTAACGGCTGGTTTTATCATTTGTTTCTGCCTTGTAACTTCTGGCCGAAAAACTTTAATCTTATCAGCCAATCAGAATTGATTTCCCAACTGTATGTGTAATACATTTTATTTACAATTTCTATTACTCAACGATAGCTGCTGGAAATCTATAATTGTATGTGTACTATAAAAAAACACCAGGAATTGTGATTTTCAGAATAAATTACCCTCACAAATCTTAGATAAAACAAAATGCAACAAACTCTGTTAAAAATATCTTGAACATTTTTGTACACTGCCTGGCATTATCATGAACAAAAGCCAGATCAAATCGCTGCAGAATTTAGAGAATTTATTGCATTGTGCTAAAGCAGTTTTAAAAAAAACCCCAGACATCAAACAAATGTTTAAACCAGCCGTTCAGCGTATTGTTTCTGTGATGTACAATTATTTTGTGTTGAGTACACTTTGATAACTATTTGTTTTTTTCCCCTGTCAGGTGACTGATCACATGACTAGAGACGCTGGTTACTGATGGACGATTCATCAGGCTCATCTTGAAGACTGCTGAAGGGACTTGGCTGGAATGGAGTGGCCTGTGATAGACAAAAGCAAATCCATGGCAATGACAGCTCCCTATCCATCATGCAAGATGTGCATGCATCTTCAAAGGCCAAAATGTCAGGCTCTTATGAGAAGGTATTTACATTACAAAACAAAACAGATGTCTGGTTTTAATTGTTTGTGGCAAAACTTCTGTGATAGTTCACCAGGGGCAACTGCAAAGATATCATGAAATTAAACAAATATTAAAACCAGCCATTCAACGTATTTATATTTTTGATACACAGTAAATTCATTTTGAGTACACTTTGATGACTATTTGTTTTCCCCCTGTCAGCTGACTGATCACATGACTAGAGACGCTGGTTACTGGTGGACGATTCATCAGGCTCATCTTGAAGACTGCTGAAGGGACTTGGCTGGACTGGAGTGGCCTGTGTTAGACAAAAGCAAATCCATGGCAATGACAGCTCCCTATCCATCATGCTAGATGTGCATGCATCATCAAAGTCCAAATTAAAAGACTTTATACATTTGACAGAATGTTAGAAGTGAATGAAATATTATTTTCCAACTTTGCTATTTTGAGTTTTGTGAGGTGACACTTTGGATGTCATTGCCTTGGATTTGCACAACCTTAACGAAAGATCAAAACAATCAAAGTTGCATTCCCCGTGCTCTTCAGCGAATTAATTTTTTTTTCTCGTAAATGTTCAACTTTTATGTTTTATATCCAACCCCAAAACTCAACTGGGCACAAACAGATCCACTTTCTGAGCAGACTAACTCCCGGTCCGTACATTATTATTTACGATTGTGAAGTGGGAACCAGCCTATACCGTACAAGAACAAATTTATTGTTGAGACGCAGTTACTTCAAAATTTAGGCCGCTTTTCTTTTCACATGTTTTATTCAAAGCGAATAACTCTTGTTTTGCAAAAAAAAATAGCAATATTAGAATTCAAATCCATTTTTCAAGATGAAACTTGAAAATAGCACAGGGAATGCAGCTTTAAACTTTAAAGAAACGTACATGAAAATTGAAATGGAAAATAAATTATATATAACAGTTGTTCCAGGCACATGTCAAAAATTCTGAATTTGTGTTATAAACTTAAAGAAGATAACTACACATTGCAAAAATTTTACAAAAAGGAAACAATTGTTTAAATTTTGGCAAGAGGCCTGATTACAGACCTAACTTTTTCAGACTTGTCAGTCTTAACAAGAATACACTCTGTATCCAAATATTTACACTGATAATTCCCTGACTCTTCATTTTGTATTAAAAGGGTATGCACTTCAGGTCCTTATGGAACAAAACTTGAACCTATAATATTATTTTCTGTACTTGTTAACGACCTGCACAAACATTACTTGACAAGAATGTCTCAAAAGTAAGGAAATTGTGGAATGTTTTGCAATAAGGACTGTTTTTTTTATTGGTTTATTCTTTAGCCTAATTAAAAGAAATTCAGAATTTGTTTGACATGTGCCTGGTTCATAATGTTCAGCTTGTGATAAATTGTACAATGAAAAAAACTTTACATTTTTAATCTTAATATTTACCATGCTTTTAATTATATGGATCTACATGTAGAATGGCACATCATTATTTAGTAGTTGTGTGAATGTCTTTGATGTCTGTTACTGGTAATATTACAGCAATTTAATTAAAGTTGGTGTATGCGTGTTTTTTTCCCAAATTTCGATTTTCTTTTCCCTGAAAATAATGCCCTGCAACAAATAAATTTGCTTTTTTATGGCGTGCTCCAGGTCAAAAATTGCGCACACTATTCAGAACGAATTAGGAGCATTCGCTCTTAATTAATTCAAAAAGTTGAAATTAACTAATTGATTGCTTGTCGTAGGCCTATATATTTGTTCGTGCGATGTCTCATTGGGAAACTCATAATTAATCAATTCAATCTGAAAATCTATTTTGCAAGGTGCCACATCGAAAAAGCACATAAACACCAACTTTAAGGTATTCCATTTATTAATAAAATTGGAAAAGTTGTTTTTACACTGAGAATCCAGATTTTTGCAACTTGCGGTATAAAACACACTCATACGGTGGCAACCTAGCTTAGTTGAGAAATTGGTCTTATTAAAAAAGTCGTTTGTGACTTGATCGATGTCCGCTACTAAAATTAGATAAGGCCAAAAAAAAGATAAGTCGGTCTGGTCAGCGCGCGCGTCGATTTTAATCATGCGGTCAATTTTTTTTTTTTTTCAAAATGTTCCGCGGTAGCTCCAACAGCGCCATCTATTTCCGCACCTCAACTTTTTTTACCAAAGAGCACCAAGGAATGGGAAATTACACCAAGGCAAATGATCGTAAGCACCAAGGCAAATTATGGAGGACACCAATGTACACCAAAAAAGCAAAATAGTACCCACCTTGTCTGTGCAATCCAAGCTTGAAGGAAAAAAAAAAAGCAAATAAAAAAAAAAGCCGCGTGGCCGCGTCAATTCCGGAACTTTGGTCTGACCAGAGACCGAATATTTTTTTTTTTTTGGCCTAAACTACAGAACCTTAAATTGTGTGGTTCAAAAAGTGATTGTATTCGCTGTAAATTTAGAGGAAGAAATATTACACATTGTTTTCTTGTGAGGAAAAACAATGCCAAACTTAAGCTGACTTTACTGAACATTTGAATGTACATGTACATCTACCGCTTTTGTTCCATCACAAATTGAATAGATTTGACAAAGTTTTTATTAGTGAAAAGGGTCTGTATTATGATGTGCCATTGTAGATCCATTTGTGACTTTGGTGTGAGTGTCTTTTATTCTTGACATATCTGCTGTCTATTGCGCTTTGCGTGCATCATTGTCATTGTGCATCAAAACTAACTTCAGGGGCGTAGCAAGGTTATTCTTTAAAGAGCACTCACACATCCATGCTAAAATAAAGGCTGGTATCATCTGCAGATGGAGGCGCTGTTCAAAACAGAAAATTGTACACACTAACGGACAACATATGCGCTTTAAAGGGTGATACATGCGCAAAATTTTTTTAAAAACCACTAATAATGGCTGCTGCAACAAAAATGGCACAACTATTTCTTTCTTTTTTTAAAGCACTTGCTCAAAAAAGGGGCACTTGTAAAAAAAGAGTGTCCCCCTTTTTCTTAAATTGCTTTGAACAAGTCTACCCACTAGTACTAGCGCTTAATAAAAAAAACTGCGCAACAGCGTCAAAATACTTTGTGAAAATTTGCTTCAAATTTCGTTAAAAAGTAGACAGCAGATGTGTTGACTTAATTTGAATCATGTTGGTGCAAGAGGGCGCACAAATTGAAATGTGATGAGTTAAACACCCCAAATTATGTGTTTCATTTGAAAAAGTTACCCTCTGACTTCGTTAGAGAACAACGAAAAATCTTTTTTTTTAAGATGTTGAGCTTTTCGATCGTGATGCATGCAATTCTGTCCTTTTTTAAAAGACCCATTAGTTAAAGCTGCTCGCTGTACTCTTGAAGCAAACCTCTTTTTCTTGCAACAAATTTTGTTTTATTTTGATGACATTTTTTTCTAGGGCATCTGCAACCAGTTGGGAAAAAAAGGTTGCTTTTGCACCTCTAATTTAGCGCGCAAAAAGATCTGCCTGAATTATTGTCGCTCCGCTTGCAATTCTAATACTTTCAGTATTGCTGATTAAAACTTGATGGTCAATGCATGTCTTATTCCAAAGTAAAAAAATAAATGAAGTGAGCCCTCTTGTGCCAACTTGATTATTTTTAAGTCAATTTATTTAATAATAGAGGGCGTCCTCTATAGTTTGAACTTCCAATTTAATTTTTTTAATAAATAAGCAGGACACAAGAGGGTGCCCTCTTGTGTGCCCTGCTTTACTTTAAAAAAAATTCAAGTTGGAAGTTCAAACTATAGAGGGCGCCCTTTTATATTTTAAGTATAGAGGGCGCTATTCGATATAATAAAATACTAGAGAGGAGACAGCACTTTGTTTCATTATTTATTGAAAAGACTGGCCAAAAAAAAAGCCCAACACATGCAAGTCCCCCCGAGGCGTGCACGCGCGGTGTTCCCCGCCCACAGACACCGACAAGCCCAGCGAGTCGCCCGCTATCTACATCGACTCATGATCAGTTGATCTTAGTGCGCACTAACTCCCCAAACTTGCAAGTCCAAATAATCGCAAATGACTAAGTTAACTCCAACATGATAAGGATCCTTATGAACTTCGACAATCCGTTTACTTTTCTGACAAAGTCGATGCCTTATTAACCGTTTCAATTACTAAGTATTGCCATGGAAATTATATACCAACTATCACTCCGAAAATTGCCCAAGTAGAGATCTCTCTCACATCTACCCATGATCGTCTCACTCAACATTTCCGTTGTTCACTGTTGCATCATGTTTCTGATCCGTTTAAATGAAATGCAATACAAACAGGCTACAATTTGCCAGCTTTCTCCGATATTTCCAATGCAATAAGATTTTAGGACATTTATCTCAGCTACCATTTACGTAAATAACTTCCGCGATATAACTCGGAAATCTCCCTGCCATTTAATCACATCAACATGTACATTGATCAGTTCATCTCATGAGTGTGTCATTTCAAAATACGTATTATTCGTAAGATTTTCACAAGTAATTGTAAGTACAGTTTTGGTTTTGACAGACATGCACGTTTAACTTGAATTGGCAAGGACCAAAAAACCAATTCAGCAAATGTTTTACAGGAGGCAGACATAACCTTTTAAGAGAAGGCAACAGTATTATCGTCAAATTTGATCTTCAAGTTCTAAAGCCTTGTCAAGTTTGGAAAGCTTCTTTGTACTTGGGTAGTACATGTACATGCTGTACATGTACATGCTATGTACATGTACATGCTATGTACATGCTGTACATGTACATTGCATTTTCCATCAGATATATACGACCACATTAAAGTGTCAATTTGTTTATGTTTTCTGGCAGCACCGTTACTAGTTTTAAGAACGTCAGATTTTGCAGACAAGATATACTTGTGCCGAGTAAATTTAGGCTATTATTTGGACTTCAATTTAATGCAATATTTCAATTTGCACATTCGAATTTACCAAGGTTTTCTTGGTAGGATTTACAGGTTTTATGAAGTGAGATTTTCTGCCAAAACTTCAACCAACATTTTGGTTGGACAAGTCCAACTTCAAAGCAACTGTTTTCTTTATCTACCTTGTACTCGGAAAGATAGAATTTTCGTTATTCTTTTAGTAAATGTTGCGCTTATTTTTGTCTCCTTTTTTGGACAAAGTTTACTTACGTACATTTTGTACAGTAAAGAGTCAACATGTGACATGTCTCAAACAGTCCTGATTTATATGGGCAAATACACCGAAACGGTTCGTTCAGTGGAGGAAAGTGATCGCAATATTTTCTTTATGCCATCATAAATATCTTCAAGACAGCTGTTGCATTGTGCACTCAATGTACATGTACATGTACATGTACATTATTCAATTTGTGCACTCGATGTACATGATGTACATGATGTACATGTTACAATCTAAAACAACCCACACATTTTGATTGGGTGTTTTATGAGAGAGAAATTGGTTGGACTGAAACACATTCGCAGTTTTTCTTTTGGATATATCTTGATTTCACACAGTATTTCAATACTGAGTGATCTCTTTTCTTTTCTACGAACATCTGGCCAAACTCTTCACGAATCGTTTTTTTTTTTCAAACTGACATTAGGCAAACCAAATCTACACACATTTTGTGCACTGAATGATTGCTAGCCTATAATGTCACACATTAGACTTTTGTCAAAGAACATTTTGGGGGTTTTCTTTCTTCGAGGAGTATTTCTATTTTTGTTTTACTCCCCATTTTCAACCTGATGTGCCCTTCTGAAGAACCATGCTATTTCCTGGTTAATGTGCAGTGGCGTAGCTCATGGGGATGGGAGGGGCCTTCTAACATGTGGAGGGGGCTGTCTGTCCAATTGGACAAAATGGGATCTATCAAAATCCCATGCTCGGCCCATATTTTGGCCAACCCAGATGGGCCCATATATGTACATGTATCAAAAGTAGCCGCCAACCTGTGCGGCAAATGGTCAATTTAAACCATCAATTTAAATTTGATGTAGGGCCCACATGGACGTATCAAGGGCTTCAATTTGTCCCCTCCCGTTTTCTTGTGGCCCCTCCTTCATTCTAGCTACGCCACTGCTGATGTGGTGGCAATCTGCCCCTCAGCATCCTCAGAAGCTGTGGCATCATCATGACACAGGGACAGCCTTGTCCCGCCATGGCCATCCATGGTCAAGTTTAATTGAAGTTTTCATTAATTCATGCACTGTACAATGACAACATACATCCTCATCTGTTTTGCTTGCTAAACCCTTGTGTATCATGGCATTCGGAGTAAACATACAGGGCGAGTCAAAAAGAAAGTGACCTGGATTAACAATGCTTTTCTTAAAAAGTAATAATCAAAGTTGACAACATCAATGAAATACGTCTTAATTACTGAACTTGATCCAGGCTACCAGCGGAACCTATTTCTATAGCTGTCCACGAATGCCATTGGAAGCTATTGAGCTGAGTGATTATAATAGATTACACACCTGCATTCAAATACAAATGAGATTTGGATCATTTGAGTCAAGACTGAAACATCATTTTCTTCTGTCAGATTTTGTGTTTTGAATCTGAGAAACAATTTAACTCATATTTTTTCTGAAATAGTGCTGAGTGAGTTTTGCCCTTTTTTGGGCAAATTTGGGTTATTCATGGAGGTGGGAAAACGTCCATGTTTTATTGTATTTAATGCGTATACATCAGTTCATAGAACAGTAAATGATCAGTGGTGGACAGCTGATTTTTATGATCTTTTTATTAAAATAGACATAACTTGGGAGTAGAGTTCGCAAATTGCGTGACATTTTCATTTACAAGTCAATGACATGTACTTTATACCAATTTTGTTTTTCGAAGCAGGAGACGTATTCTAAAGCATTTTTTATCTAATTTGGTCACGTTCTTTTTGACTCGCCCTGTATTGCCACATGTCTACATTACAACAGATATTGCACATTTATGCTCACATGCAAACCTAGGCAGGCCCCAGGAAAATTTATGGCAGTTTCTGAGATTGATTCTGCAACGAGACATGTGCTACTCAAACCAAATTTCAGTGATGTTT